TCTTTGTCAGCTTAGATTCTATGGTCCAGCATGAAGGGAGTTAGACACTGAACGCCCTTCTCTATCACACTTAACCCAGTACTTAGCTGGCACCTGTACCCAAACAGCTGGACATTGCATAAGAGTACTACACCATCGTGCTAACTAGACGCACCTCATAGTTACAACCGCAGATTTCAAATGGGCCCTCAACACTGCAAAACTCTCTAATTACACTTCCCTAATATAGGCACCTTTCCTGTCTTGGACAGACTATTTCACACCTTCACCTCATTCCCATCTCCAACCTCCTGCTTTCTTCACCCTCATCAGCAATTTCCCTTCATACTTCATGGTGATAGAAGATGTGGTGAGAAGAGAGCTACCTTGTCTTCCCACCATCTCCTCTACTACCTACCTGCAGCACAGTGCACACGCCCTTTGGGTCCCTTCCTATGATGGGGGAAATCTCTAAAGCCAAACTTTCAACTTGTGATCGGGACCTATCCCTGTGCTCCTCTAAGACTAAGCCCACACAGGTACCTCCTCACTTGCCTTATCCATTACTTCTATTGGATCATTCTTGTACCTCCCAAATAAAGTGTCAGCTTTTAAATTGTTTAAATATATTTTTAGGGGGCATACATGAAGTTGCATTATGTGGATACTTTGGTTAGTGTTGAAGTCTGGGCTTTTAGTGCAACCATCACCTGAAGAGTGTGCATGTATGCACTGTATCCATCAGGTAATTTCTCTTCTCCCCCCCTCCCCCCGAGATGGAGTTTCACTCCTGTTGCCCAGGCTAGAGTGCCCAGGCGTAATCTCGGCTCCCTGCAACCTCTGCCTCGCAGGTTCAAGCAATTCTCCTGCCTCAGCCTCCCGAGTAGCTGGGATTAGAGGCATGCACCACCACACCTGGCTAATTTTTAAATTTTAGTAGAGATGGGATTTCTCCATGTTGGTCAGGCTGGTCTCAAACTGCTGACTTCAGGTGATCCGCCCACCTTGGCCTCCCAAAGTGCTGGGATTACAGGCGTGAGCCACCACGCCCAGCCTCCATCAGGTAATTTCTCATCCCTCACCACCCTCCCACCTTTCCAAGTCTAGTATTGGCATTTTAATCCTTTCCTCAGTCACCTCTTTCCCAACGGCCAAGGTTAACACCAGGATGAGACACAACCTAGTCCACGCCACCATTCTCTTGGGGACTAGTGCATCAGCATACCTGTGAACTTAGCAACGCAGTTTTTGGGCCCTGCTTCAGACCCACAGAGTCAGAATCCTTGGAGATGAGGCCTAGGACCATGGCTTTAAAAACTGTTTAGGGCCAGGCATGGTGGCTCACGCCTGTAATCCTAGCACTTTGGAGGCTGAGGCAGGTGGATCACAAGGTCAGGAGTTTGAGCCCAACCAGTTCGAGACCAGCCTGGCCAACATGGTGAAACCCCATCTCTACTAAAAATACAAAAATTAGCTGGGCATGATGGCACACATCTGTAATCTTGGCTACTTGGGAGGCTGAGGCAGGAGAATTGCTTGAACCCAGCAGCAGAGGTTGCAGTGAGCTGAGATCGCACTACTGTACTCCAGCCTGGGCGACAGAGACTCCGTCTCAGAAAAACAAAAAACAAACAAAAACTGTTTATGTGGCTGGGCATGGTGGCTCATGCCTATAATCCCAGCTCTTTGGGAGGCGGAGGCAGGAGGATCACTTGAGCTCAGGAGTTTTAGACCAGCCTGGGCAACATAGTGGGACCTTGTCTCTATGAAATTTTTATTTATTTTTTTGAGACGGAGTCTCCCACAATGGAATGTTATTTGGAAGTACAGGTTATCAAATACATACGACATGGAAGAACCTTGAAAACATGCTAAGTGAAAGAAGTCAGTCGAGAAAAACCACAGACTGATTCCATTTAGATGAAATATCCAGAAAAAGTCTAGAGACAGAAATTAGTGATTGTCTAGGGATGGGGGGAGGAAGAAATGGGGAGTTAACTGCTAATGGGCATGGAGTTTTAGGGTGATGAAAACATTCAGAGGCTGGGCAGGGTGGCTCATGCCTATAATCCCAGCACTTTGGGAGGCGAAGGCAGGCAGATCACTTGAGGTCAGGAGTTCAAGACTTGTCTGGGCAACATGGTGAAACCCTGTCTCTACCAAAACCACAAAAAATTAGCCAGCCGTGGTTTGTGCCTGTGGTCCTAGCTATTTGGGAGGCTGAGGTGGGAGCTTGAGCCTGGGAGACAGATGCTACAGTGAGCAATGAGCTGAGATCATACCACTGCAATCCAGCCTGGGTGACACAGTGAGACCACTCCATCTCATAAAGAAATATATATATATAAAATATATGTATATATGTGTGCGTATATATATACGTGTGTGTATATACATGTATATATATATACACACACACGTATATATTCCAGAATTAGTGGCAATAGTTATACACATACACATATATATTCCAGAATTAGGTAGTGGCAATAGTTGCACAATGTTGTGAATGTACTAACACCACTGTAGTATATGCTTTAAAATGGTGAATTTTGGCTGGGTGTGGTGGCCAGCACTTTGGGAGGCCAGGGTGGGAGGACTGCTTTGTGCCCAGGAGTTGAATACCAGCCTGGGCAACACATCAAGACTCCATCTCTTAAAATAATAATAAAGTGGTGACGTTTAATGGCATATGATTATTTCTCAATTTAAAGAAGGGGAAGAGTAATTCTCAGCAGTGTTAACTGCTGCAATCAATCAGGCCAGGCCTGAAGACACCATGCAGCAGGCTATCCACACAACAGCCATTTTCCTCTATCATGATCCCTCCTCTATTGAATTCCAACAATCCTGACTGGTCTAAGCAGATTCTGTGGTTTCACTCCTCTTGCTACGATTGGTTTAGGAATGGAGAGGTAATCCAGATCTGCCCAATGAAACACAGGCTGCTATGGTACTTGAAAGAAATATTTCATTATTTTTTTTTTTTGAGACGGAGTCTCGCTCTGTCGCCCAGGCTGGAGTGCAGTGGCCGGATCTCAGCTCACTGCAAGCTCCGCCTCCCGGGTTTACGCCATTCTCCTGCCTCAGCCTCCCGAGTAGCTGGGACTACAGGCACCCGCCACCTTGCCCGGCTAGTTTTTTGTATTTTTTTTTAGTAGAGACAGGGTTTCACCGTGTTAGCCAGGATGGTCTCGGCCTCCCAAAGTGCTGGGATTACAGGCTTGAGCCACCGCGCCATATTTCATTATTCTTAAATACAGGGAAAAAAGCAGCAGTCCTGCAGCCTCTTGCCATTGGTATGGCAAGTTACAATGCCTGGAACAACTGCCTTGAAGGTGAGGTGGCTGGAGAACATGTTGAGGGCAGCAGAGCAGAAAGATGGGAAGCCCACCTGGGTCCTCACAACTGCCCAACCTCGGGACTTGTATCAGATGAATCCTCTAGTTAGTGCCATTTATTTTACTTTTTTTTTTTTTTACTTAGAGTCCAAGCATCTGGTGACTTTTCCTGAGATCATAAGAATGGACCTGGAGACAGTGCTGGCACTGAGCATGCTACTATGGCTGTCTCAGTGAATGGTCCTTACCACGTTTTGATGTCTGGTTTGGTTTTAGACCCAGCTACTTTCATGGTCCAGAGCCAGTCAAATCAGTATTTTCCAGGAAGGGAAAAAAAAAAAACTCCAAAAAGTTCAAGCTCACCCTACTCATCGTAATTATTTGGCAACAAGAAGAGGGCCAGAAAATAAGTAAAAACAGGCTATCAAGTTTAACCTCAGCCAGTTGCTTCACATCTGAGCCTCACTCTCAACTACAAAATGGGGCTACACCTGTATCTCACAGGACTGACTCAAAGATTAAAGCGCATGAGGCAGAGATGCTAGCATAGCTCAGGGCTCAGCAGACTTGCCACCGACAAAGAACCCCAGCTATAGCTTTCTCAAATTCTGCAACCTCTGCTCAAATAGCAGCCTACTACCCCTGACCACTCTAAGACATCTGTTTCCTATGGAAGAGGACACCACTTTTAGAAAGAAAATTACCCATCTACAACCTAGAATGACTTCAGCAATAATGAAAATGGCTAGTAATTGGCTACATGGACAGATGGTATTTTATCCTGAATGTCTGTCAAAGATGACTTTTTTCTAGTTGAGGGTCTGAATCATGACTCTGCTGCTCATGAGATGTACACATAACCTTCAACAAGTTTCTTCATCTGTGCCTGCTTCCTCATCCATGAGTGTGGTACTTACATTACACAAACGTCTCAACACTTGAGAGATAATACACAAAAAACCTCATGAGCTTAACTGATACTTTTTTGACCCAGGGAATGGACAAGGCAATTGTAGTCCCCAACTTTCTTTATTCCTGTCCAATACAGCCAGGTCTGTGAAAGCAAATTTAAGGTGCAAACATCAATTTGTTACAAGTTCCATATTCTAACAAGTAACTTTTTGCCATTTCACTTAGAGAAACGTGGGGTTCTCTGCATCTCCAAACTAAAGAATCAGGAAAGACCCCATTCTGTCTTTGCCTGCAGGTCTACTTAGAGCAAAGTGTCATTACCTTACAAATAGACAATTGTGTACACATTCACAGGGGCACAGGCCCTCTCTGACACGAGTCTATTAATTTACTAATTTTATAGAGATTGCAAATGCAGATGGAAGTAGAGAGGCTCCTGTCAGCTACCAAGGCAAAACCTCAGATCTACCAAAAATCTGCATTTAATACACTTCATGTATTCGGAGTCATGCAAAAAACAAACAGTGCAGGCAATGCTGCATAACCAAGTACAGAAATCACTCCATACTCCCAGCCTTTCACCACTAGCTAAATCTACTCCTGGAATCCTTCCTAACTCCACCTAGCACTGTGTGTTTTGGAAACTATTAATCAGTGAAAGATCATCATTAGACTGTACACAGAATACCTCAAAGCAGAATGCACCTTGTTCCAAGAGACTTGGATAAACCAGGTTACCCCACTTGTGGGAAAAGATCAGAGGCAGCATTCCAAGCCAAACTGTATCCAGCTTTATTAAAGATACTTTCCATAAACAATCATGGTATTTCAGGCAGGACATGGGCAGACAATCGTTAACAGTATACAACAACTTTCAAACTCCCTTCTTCAATGGACTACCAAAAATCAGAAAGCCACTATAAAACCCAATGAAGTCTTCATCTGATGCTCTGAACAGGGAAAGTTTAGAGTGAGGGTTGACATTTCACATTTAGCATGTTGTTTAACAACTTTTCACAAGCCGACCCTGACTTTCAGGAAGTGAAATGAAAATGGCAGAATTTATCTGAAAATCCACAATCTAGAAATGGAACCAATGCTGTTTTGACAGGTGCCATCTCAGTGGCATCACTGGAAAGTCCAGATTGCCTGACACACTGGTAACCAATGACTATGGGTCAGGTCCCAACAGATGTCTGGGCTTAAGGGAGTTAAGTCTATGCTGAAAGATGGAAAGGGAGAAGAGAACATAAAAACAAACTTGTTTTTCCATACCACAAGGCTTTCGTGCCAAGGTGGCCATGTGTGTCAAAGTCAGGGACTCCCTCCTCCTGGGAACCAAGAGGAAGTCTCTCAAAACTAGAAGGGAAAGATGTTTTCCCCACCTCAATCCAGCTTTGGAGACATTCTATTAGTGACATATGCCCCTTCCCCCAAAAACAACAATGAAGTGTTCTGTGTGCTAACAACATAGCTTTAAAAAAAAAAAAAGTAAAACAAAATTCTGCATTTTTATAAAACTTGATAAAAAATAGTATTTCAAACTGTACAGTCACCAGAAGTACACAGTTATCAAAAATGCACACACTTCACTTGGCATCTCCAGCACCTTCAGCTTTCTGTGCCTAAAAGAAAACAGACAAATTAATGAATGTGTAGATTTCAAAACTATCTTTGTTCACATTCCACCTACAGCATCATTTTGCTCCCAGGCCAAAGTTCAGGTTTCAGGTTCTGAGACTCAGTATTTCTTCTGAGAATGACTTACTAGGTAACTGTGCTAAGTCACCTCTCCTCTGGGCCTTATTGTAAAACTGAGGTAGGAGGAACACCAGAATTAGAGACCTGAGGTTACTTCTAGCTTGAAAACTTTATGTAGTATAAAACACAATGCCCTTCAGCTGACAGTAGAGATTTCAAGAATCTAGGACTTAGAAGTTAACAGGAAAGCCACAAGCAGATTCTGGACCAAATGGTACATTTGGAGTGATATAAAAAAAAGGCAATTAAGTTTTTGAGATCAGCAACTAACCGAATGAGCAAATCTAACAAAGGGTGAAACAGCAGTTATACCTGGTCTGTTTTGGCATCTCCGTTTTCTGCAGGGTTATTCCCCTCCTTGCCAGCATCAGCTTTTCCCTTTTTCCCTTTGGGTACCTTCTCTCCCTTCTGAAAAAGGGGAAAAAATAGAACTATTTCTCCCCATTTCATATTCCCAAGGTATGGTCTGCAAAGTTCTGCACAAGGTAGGATTGTTTACTGAAGATAAAACACAAACCCTTATCAGTTGACAAGAACAACTGATCAAAACTAGGCTAAATTATATGTAATTTGCTATAATCTTTACTACTTAAAATTTCCTATCTAAGTAGCAGAAAAATAAATCAGTTTAAACCCTGGGGTATTTAATATTTAAATACATATTTTCCTACAAACTAACGAAACAACTCTTGATCACGAAACCAACGGTATGAATGACAGGGATGAGGCAAACTATCTACAGTTTATAACCTCCATTAATGGAGGCACCATTATGCTAATTAAGTTAAGGCACTAAGGACAGTCCTCATTCTGTGAAAATGATCAGTTCCAATGTTAGCACTTACCTTTGCAGGGGCCTTTTTAGGCTTGGGCTCTGGCTTTGGAGGAGCAGGTTTCTTTTTTTTGGCAGGAAGAGAGGAAAAATTGAACATCAGTACAATGGACTGAAGAAAACCACCCACGACCGACCAACCAACCAACCAAAAGTACCAAAGGCAGAGAAGTTTCTCCTCCTCCTCAAAGTTTTTGTGGCTGGCTTTCTTCTAGAATGTTGGATCTCCAGAAGCCCACTCAAATGTCCCACTTTGGCTACAGGCATCAAAATTTCAGAACCAGCAAAACCCAAAGGGGCAAGAGTCCCAAGTAGAGGCAATCATTCAAAACCAGGCACTAACCATAACTCATGGGAAGCAAAGGGAATTGTTTTTTGATGTTTTTTGGTTCAGGGACAAATACGAAAATTCAAAAGCATACACTTACAGCAGACAACCTCGCGGATCTTCTCTGTGGCTATTAAAGACAACGAGAAAGTTAGAAATAGGACAGGTAAGTCGCTTTGAAAAGTTTGGTATCAACTGGCTCTAGATTATAGGAGTGTAAATTCAGGACACAGGTTAATCACCGAGTCCAGTGGCCTCTGCTAGTCCAAGGCTTTGACCCTTGAAGAGAGAATGACTTACTTCGTCCTTCACCTTGGCTTTATCTCCTTTAGCATCCCCTTCAGCCTATAAGAAACAAGAACAAAAAACTGCAGCTTCTGACGTGGTTCTTAGTTCTTTCCTAAACTTTAGAGTGCTAACAAAGAAAATTAAAGCAGTCGTCCACACAACTTTTTTAGGACATAAACAAATGAGTGAGCCCGACGTTCGTATAAGAACGAAGCGCGCGCAGGACCCCCAGCTCGCCGACCCCGAGAAGCCAGGGCTGAAGCCGGAGCGCAGCCGGGGAGGGCAGCCGAGCCCGCACCACCGCGCCAGGCAGGAGCAACAGCTGCAGATGGCGCAAACAAACCCCCTCCGGAGGCGGAGCCCAGCGCCGTTGCCATGGCAGCCGTCGAGGGCGGGAGAGGGAGGCGCGCGCAGCCCGGGGAACTCGTGGGCGGCGGCAGCGCGCGTCTCGTGCGCGGGGAACGTGGGCGAGGGGGCGGGGCCATACCACACAAGCCCCGCCCCCTCACGGCGGCGGTTTTTTGGCGGCAGCGCGTTCCCCCGCCCGCCAACCCCGAGCGCCGCCTTCCCGCCCTTTCGGGTTTGAATTGCCCGCCCGCAGGGAGGGGAGGGAAGAGGCCTTGGCGATGGGGGAGGGGGCACGAGGCGGGGGCGGCGAGCCCGAGGAGAGCGGGATAAACAGCCGCCAACATGGCTCCTCCCGCCGCGGCCGCCGCTCCTCCAATATGGCCTCTGGCGCCCGCGGGCAGCCAAGCCACTCAGGGTTAGCCCCGAGACGCCCGAAACCGCCTCGAGCCCCCGCGCGCGGAGGCCGCGCTAGCTCCTGCCCGGCGCCGATTCTCGCGCCCTGCACCAGGGAGGCGGCGGTGGCGGCGGCAGTGGCGGCCCAGCGCCTGCGGCCCTCGCGCCACGTACCTTTCTCTTGGGCATGGTGGCGACGGCGGCGGGACGTAGGTGCTGGACGCGGGATGCAGCGCGCGCGGGCTTTGGTCGGTCCGGGGGTCGTTCTCGCCTCTTCTTCTTCACACTGCTCGGGCTCCGGGGGGTTTATAAAGTTTTTATAGCGCTGGGAGCCCCGGACCGGTTAGAACCGGATTTCACCTCCCGCCGCCGTTCATTGGCCCAGCTGGGGTCACGTGGGCGGGGTTTAAACTCACCTCCTCTGGAGGGAGTGAGGAGGGGGGTGTGGGGGGGGTAGTGCGCGCGAGACGGCGGCGCGCCGAGGGGGTGGGGGCGCAGTCGGGGAGGCGCGCGTCGAAGGCAGTAAATGAGGAGGGGTGCGCGAGTCGGCAGGCTCGGGGTTCCGGCTCCCGCCAAGAGCTGTCTTTTGCAAACTAGCAAGTTCCTTCCACCTTATGCAACCCAGCAACCCACTTCTCCAAGCCATGCGACACTCAGGGCGCATCTCAGCGGCTTTCCTTCCTGCTCCCGCTGGGGGCCCCAGAAGAGGGGTTTGCGAGGCCTGGCTGCACTGCCCTGCTCCACTGGAGGCAGAAGGAAGCGCGCGGCTGGAGGCACAGGCTGCAGTTCCCAGGGCCCAGGCTGACGCCGAAGTGGGAAAAAGGCGGGGAAGCCAGCTTGGCGCAGCCGGACGTGCATCCTTCCGAGCTGCCACTTCGGGAAAGCCTTTCGTGCACCTCACCTGAAAGACGGTCCCACTCGAGGTGGGCTAGGGGTTTCAGGGGGAGACTTTCCATGCAGAGGTGCCTTTTGGGTGCCATGGGGCAGGTAGGAGCTGTCCTTTCAGCACCCGTTGCGCAGCCGCCTCCCCAAATACTATCGAAGCCCCCACCCCCAACGCCTGTCGGGTGGCTCTCTTAAGGTCCCTATATTCCCAAACCTCCAGACCCTGTCACAGTATGGTGGAGAGCGGCCGCCGAGGTCTACCAGCACTCCCCTCCCCCTACAACTCTACCCCCCTCGGAGACATCTAGCCCAGCTGCCCCCACCCGACGCGGCCACCAAGCCTGGGCACTGCAGCCGCAGCTGGCGAAATCCCTCCTTCCACACTGTCAAGCTGGCTGCCTTTCACTTGCGCGAGGAAAAGGAGGGTGGAGGAAAGCGCCCGGGAATTAGGAAACAAGTAGAGGAACAGGTGGTGTGATGGCAAAAGGGCTCTTCCAGTGCCTCCTAGTCCAAAGCCAGGGTCTTGGAGCTAGCCAAGTGCACCTGAGGGAGGGTAGGCAATTGCAGCAGCAAAACAAGGTGTTCTTCCGTTGCAGTTAGCAAACAAGTTTTACATCTAAGAATCTTTAAAAATTCTATTTGAAACCCAGAATACAATACGATATATGTCCTCAAATGGGGGCTTCGCTTACAGGTGGAAGGACACTAAATTGGTCCCATCTGATTTCTTGAGGCAACGGTTGAACCTGCCTTGTACAAATCATACATGTCCAAAGCAACCAGGAGTTCAACTGTTTTGCAGCCCTTGCTGCTGGGCGACGACGACGACCTCTCTGCCTCTTCTTTCCACCCCTACACCGCCTCCTGGGGCGGCTTCTCCCTACTCCACCCTGTGTACCTTTCCCAGAATAGAGAACCTCAGGCCAAAGAGAGATGCCAGCCCCATTAATCACCTCTACTGTACCCCAATCATATTACGGAAAGTCAGACCCAGGAGACAGGATTCAACAGCCACACTCAGGGCAGATTCCGTTTGCTGCCTCCAGCCCCTCATTCCCGCCTTAATTGTAGGGCTCTGCATTACAGCCGCATAATTCATGCCTTCCTAATTATGGCTGTCAACAGCCCCATTGTAAAGCTGGAAAATGTACAGCACCTGCTCTCCAGGAACCCTGTGCCAGGGATTGGTAGAGGGGAGTGCCAGGTGTGGATGGGGGCTTGCCAAAGGGTGCATTGATTGGCTTCTCAATCGCCTTGTCTGGCATTTATGCTTGATTCTGGGAGCAAGGACAATAGCCAAGAGGTCTCTTGCCGCCAGGTATTCGGGGACAGAAAGGGGAAGAGAGGGTTGGGGTATAGGAAAGTTAGGGGTTTCCTGTGTGCTCTTGCTACTGCTTGCAAGATCTCACCTCTCCCCTAGAGGGAGCTGCTAGGGAAACGGCTTGCAGAAAGTAAAATGGGAAGTCTGGCACAGTGGCTCATGCCTGTAATTCCAGCACTTTGGGAGGGTGAGGCCAGCGGATCACCTGAGGTCATGAGTTCGAGACCAGCCCGGATAGGGTGAGGCTCTGTCTCAAAAAGTAAAAGTAAAATGGACTTTACTAAAGAGAGTAGCATTTGGTTGGTGTTACTGGCTGGTACTTGCCGGTGTGGGGCACCTGAAATGGAGTTGCTCAGGCAGACAGCTCTTCAAAGGCACTAATCCTCTCAGCAGCTCTGCAGCAAGTCCTGGCAGAGGGAGGTAAGGAAAAGGACACAGCTTTGACCCTCACAAGCAGAGGACCTAGAACAAGCTTTGCCATGCCAAGAATAAATCGGGAGCCAGATCAAAAAGCTGAGAGAAACCTCGAAGAGTGGAGTGGGAATCAGAGTTTGAGATGGTGAGGGCAGGGAGCAGAGTCAGTTGAGAGAAGTGTTTGGTTCTGCTCAGTCCTGTTGTCTTACAGGAGAGAAGGCCTGTGCTGGATTCGATTCACCAGGGCCTACAGGCCCTTCTCTTACCCTATACCATGGAAGGGGCCAGTCTCACTTGGGAGTGGAGCCTGGCCCCATGCCCTGCAAGAGGAGGAGAAAAGCTTGTGTGGGCTGAGTCGACAATAGGTAATTGGATTGTAATCGCCTGCCTGGCTTCCGCACACCATTGGGGGTGCTGAGTCTTTCAGTGAGCAATCAGTACTGCGTGGTGGGAGGAGGGTAGAGATTCAATAGCAAATCCCAGGTGGAGAGCCAAGGGGGAGGAGCAGCAGATGGGCAAATTTTCTGTCTCTCCCACCCCCTTTTTTTCCTTACCCAAATAACTGGCTGCCTATTAGTTATATACTAGCAGATCCAAGGTAGAGCCAAATCTTTTGTGGAAGCTGGGTGGAAGGCTAAAATGGATGGGTAAAGAGCTAGGGTTTTGGGGAGAACTCTTCCCTGAAATTCTGTGTTGAAGGATGTGCTGGTGGAAAAAGAAAGTGCATCTAAGAGACAGGGAGCTGATAAGTTGGGGCCCTTTGTCTCCAAACCCTATTGGTGACCAGACCTGGGTTTAGTGTACTCGTGGGAGACTTTCACCCTCAATCCTCCCCAGGAGCCTGTCCCAGGCATCCCAAAGGTATCTATGGCCAGCAGACCTGGCCTGTGGGGGCGCTCCCCAGCCAAGCAAAGGGAACACAATTCATTATCAGGAAAGGAGATGCCTTTCACCAAGAAAAGGAAGGGGAGTGGGGCCCTGGAGGCAGAGGGCAGGGCAAAGTGGCAGGTGACCAGCCCCACTCAGGCTGATGCAGTGCCCAGACGGGCCAGCCAGTCAGCTCGCTTGAGTTCCAAGGCCTGCAGGAAGCCTTGGACTCGCTCTTCCCGTCTGGCCGAGAGCTTGTGCAAGCGTGTCCTTCGGAGCTGGGCGTCCCCACTGGCTTGGAGCCCCTCTCGCAGCAGCTGCTCTGTCACTGTAGCCTGGTCCCTCTCCAGCTGCTGCCTCTTCCGCTCCTCTGCATACATGTCTCGGGTCTTCTGCTAGAGAAAAGTAGGGATTGGGGTGGGGAGATCATTTTTAGGAGTGGGTGAAACTGGGATGGAGGAGGTAGGGGGTGGGGCACAGGGTGGGCCAAGTGAAGTGGAACAGTGGAAAGTAGGTACCAGATTTGAAAAGGCTTGGGAGTAGGTATGCAGTGGGTGGTGCTCATGTTGTACAGGCAGGGCAGTGGTAGTTCTGGGTCCATCTTGGTTTGTTTTGTGTGGAAGCATCTGTACTTCTTGAAGTTTTTCTCATGCACTTGGAAGGGAACCAAGCAAATGTGGGTCTGACTTCTGATTTCCCCATCAACTGGCTTTGTGGCTTTGGGCAAATCCTGTCCTAACCTCATTTCTTCATCTGTAAAGTGGGGGTTGTGCCTACCTTGAAGAGTGGTTTTAAGGATTAGAGATAATATATGCAAAATCCTCTCTAGGATATTAGCAGGCTCTTAGACAGAAACAGCATTTTTACAAGTTGTTATTGCCTATTCTCTGCTGCAAGAAAGGTCCTATTCTTGTTGGGGACATGTCCATTGGGTCACTTTCTTTGATCTCCCCAGGTTTTCCTCTGAGGACACCATCCTCCCAACTCCCTAGGCTATTTTTCAGAGCTCCACACTTGCCTCCTGTATGAAGACCAGCCTGATCCTTCCAGCAAATGACCCTCCTATGAACATTCTGAGAAGCAGGTTCAACTCTCTTAAGCCACTTATTGCATTCTGCATAGTAGAATAAGTGTTAGTGTTCATAGTCTACTCTTTCTCTTAGAAAATAAGCCCTTGGAGGTTTGAGAGCCTCCAGGCCTCTTGGAACCAGCTCTGACACCAGGTGATGATCATAATCCCTGGCAGTAGTTATCATCCCAAGTACTAGAGGGCAGAGACTGGGCTTCTTCCTCTCTAGCACTTGGGGTGCCCTGTACATGTGAAACACTCAACTGACTGACCACGTGATCCCAGGAGAGCAGTGAGGATGCTCCTGATACAGGAGAGTGGAAAATCCCTTTGGAGCAGAACCAAGGCTTTCCTGTGCCTCACTGATCTTCTCTGTTCCTGCCAGTCTAACTGACCTGCAAAGCTTTTGCACCAGAGCTCCTCCTGCCAAATATATTCCATGTGTGAGAAACTCTATTTTCCTATGGTATCCTATACCCTGATGACCCTTCCCACATTCTACCTTGTATTACGGTAAACTTGTATACATGTTTTTGTCCTAATCAGCCTGTAAGCACCTTGACTGCTCTGTCTTCACAAAGAATATCTTACATGTGCACAACCACTTCATCTGTTGCCTCACTTGACCCTCACAATGGAGCTGTGAGGGAGGTACTTTCTGCTGGAGACAGACATGGAGCAGGGAACTGATTTGCTGTCTCTCAGCAATAAAGGTTTACTGCATGGATAAGGATGACAAATGAGAATTCTGGACTATCCCCCCTGGCTCCTGAATAATTCCAGGCATTCAAGGGTACTTCTCTTCTGCTATTATAATGAATTACATGTGGAGCTATGAAGACTTTGGGCTTGAACAGCTGCCGCTAGAGCTGTCCATCTTGCTGGAAGGGCTTCTTGCAGGCCTTGGTCAGGAGGCTCCCTGGGTGCTACATACAGGATTTTTTTGAGGATATGGAGATGCGCAGGACACAATCCCAGCAATCCAGGTGCTTACAGGCTGATTATACAGCCATGCACACAGAGTGCCATAATACAAAATAGGATGTGGTAAGGTTCATGCAAGTTCAGAGGAGAAAGCAAGTGTGGCTGATGAACATCACGGAGCAGTGACCTTCATGGACAGAATTTGAGCTGGCCCTTTAACCCATGAGGAGGATTCAAACAGAGGTGAGGTGTATGGGGGGCAGGGAGAATATTCCAGCAGTGGGAGTAATGAGCAAAGATGCATGGAACTGAAGAGCCTGTTCAGGCCAGAGTAAGTCCACCTGGAGCAGTGGGGTTTGAGAATTTCCTGTCTAACGCCTCCCTTACCTCTCTAAGGCTATTTCTTTTTTTTTTTTTTTTTTGAGACGGAGTCTCACGCTGTCGCCCAGGCTGGAGTGCAGTGGCGCGATCTCGGCTCACTGCAAGCTCCGCCTCCTGGGTTCACGCCATTCTCCTGC